ACCAGGTCTTCCGTGTTGCAGAGGCGGGAGAGGAGGCTGCCCCGGGGCCCGCCCCCCACCCCGGGCCCCCTTACCCGCCTGCACCAGCGCGAAGCAGACGCAGCTCAGCCACAGGCGGAGCGCTGCACCGGGCGGCCAGGCACACGGCGGCCCGGAGGGCATGGTGGTTCCTCCGCACAGCCGGCCCGGGGCGGCGCAGGGGGACGCGGCTCTGGCGCCCGGCGGCCGCTCGCGCTCCGGCCCGAGCCCAGCCCGGCCTGGCCGCCCCACGCCGCCCCGCGCCGCCTGCATGTCGGCTCCGCGGACAGCGACTCCCGCGCGGCGGTGGCGGCGGCAGCGGCGGCGGCGGCGGCGGCGGCGGCGGCGGCGGCGACTGCCGCGTCCACGTCGGGCGCCCGGGGGGCGGGGCGCCCCCGCTGGGGGAGAGGCGCGGGGGCGGGGTGAGGGCGGAGGGCACCCCACTGCCCTTGCCCCCCCCCTCCCCGCGCACGCTTCCTGCTCTGTTGGTGATCAGAGACCCAGAGACCCCCGTGGACTGGCTGCTCTTTTCCTCACCCTTGCAGGTGCCATAGCACGGTTCTCTGTGCTTCCACTGTGGTAGGTCCTAGCCTTGACCTGGCCCCCCCATTGCTGCCTTTTCCCAAAGGAGAGGAAGGATAAGTGCCACGGAGATGCTCATCTGTACCCCTACCCCACCGCACAGCAGCCTGAGGTGCCCACCCCAGACCAGAGGCCTTGCTGGCCAGGCCGGAGTGAGCAGAGGGCAGCAATCATAGCGGAGAGTGCTAAGTAGGGACTGGAATGCAGACAGCAGGTGTGCAGTGTTTACCGTGGGGTTGAGAAGAAGATGCTCTGACCCGCCGGAGTCTAGCTCCTCCGGGCCCAGGCCAGTCTCTCCTTCTTCAACCTCCATTTTTATCATCCTAAGGAGAGCTAATCACCAGCACCTGATAGATGCCAGATACCACGCTGGCTTTTACTTGCATTTCAGGGCTTAATTCTCACTGCAGCCCATAAAGTCCCTTCCTTCCGTCCACATTTTGCATAGGTTTGTACATATTACATGATTTCGGCAAGGATCCCCCCAGTCAGGATAGGAGCCCAGGCTGGCGTGACCCCCAAGAGCTGTGCTTGACTCCCACCAAGGGGGGACTTCACGCCCCCTGGATCCCGGAGATCTACACCTTTGGCAGCACCTCCACAGTCGGAGAACAATCCAGAACAACCTTCGAAAGCAGTAGCAGGGAGGGGCTGCAGGCCCCCCGCACCCATTCTGGCCTGGGTGAATGTGTGAGCAATGATTGATCTAATGGCTCTAAAGTGCCCAGGGCTTTGAAGAAGTGGCAGGCAGCCACGGTTAATAAAAAGGCTTTGATGACACATCCTTTATCTACTGGAGGACACAAATATGACTCTGTCCTCACACACCCTCCTGCCCAAACCACTCGTTTTCTGATCTCAGGGGCAGAGTGAGGTCTGTGCCCACCACTTTCTCCTTGAGAGTAAATCTCTGGGACACCAGGCAGCTAGAGAGACCCCAACTCTACTCTGTGACACTCTCTACCTTAGATCCCAGTCAGAGAAACAAGATTGGCATGGACCAGGGTCTCAGGACATGAAGGGGCCACCCCTCTATGCAAGCAAATCCTCTGCCCACACACTAAAATTCCACCACTGGGGCATTTCTTTGTCTTAGGGTTTCCCAAAGGCCCCCAAAAGAACTAAGTACAGCTATTCCACAGAAAGTCTTTGAGCCCCTCCCCCCCATGCTCTGCATTTTAGATTAAGAAACTGGGAGGTACAAAGATGGAAGCCCTCATAGCAAATTCACAGTGAATCAAAAGCAGCCACAGAATAGCCTTCCTTTCTTAAGGCCCACCCCAGGACTCCTAGCCCTGCCCCCTATTCCCAAGTCTCTGGCTGGTCACCTTGGAAGAGGTGAGACGGGAGGGGCTCAGGGGTTCTCAGTGAGCTGTGGAATCTTACTGCCCCTCCCCTCCACACCCCAGGCCTGCCCCACTGGGCAAGCTGAACCTCCCCAGCCCCATCTGTGTCCTGGCCACATACCTTGTCCTGGGAATGAGCTTCTGCTGGGACCTGACCTGGGACAGGAACTGGAGCCAGAGCACCTACCCTGCCTCGCCTGCCTTTCTCTCTTTCTCTTTCTCTCTCTCTCTCTCTCTCTCTCTCTCTCTCTCTCTCTCTCTCTCTCTCTCTTTCTTGGCAGCTGCTGTCTGCCCAGCCCTGCCTTCCTGCCCAGCCCTGCCTTCCGCCCCACCAGCTGCAGCTTGGCCCCTAGGGACCCCCCCTCCCCCCCCAGACAACCAAGAGGCCTGCAGACAACTGGAGCCTTCTCAATGCTTCATCACGCGAGTCAGCAGGAAGGAGAGGGGGTCAGTTAGAGGTCACAGAATCCACTCTTGTCCCAGCTGAGGAGAAAAGAGGGAGAGGGTCCTGATGGTTCTGGTCTCTAGTCCAGTACTGGGGAAAGGGGAACCTCAGCGCCACCTGCTGGCTTTTCTAGGTAAAAACCCTGGCAGATGTAGGGCATTGGGAGGGGGAGATAGATGGCAGTGCTTGAGAATTTGAGAGGGAAGAGGAAAGGCGACTGGAGGGGGCATGGAGCAGTGGGAGGATTTGGGAGTTGTAGCTGTGCGGTGCAGCCTTTCCAGGTCTTCTAATGCATGGAGTGCTCAGACACCAGCTCAGTTCTGAGAGAAGCCGGGATGCTTGGAACCTGGCAGCTAGTGGCGGCTCGGCTGGGGACAGGCAGAGCTGGGAGGATTTAGAGGCACATGGGGCGAGCCTGGAAGGGGGCCATCATCATAGGTTACTTTATGTACACCATCTGTACTCTGTTTTCAGTACAGACCCTAACGTACAGTAGGTACTCAGTAAATGTTGACTGTACAGAATAAATTCATCCTTCCAACATTTATTTACTGAGCAAGCTATTAGGTACCAGGCTCTGGGCAACATTTTGTGTCCTGCTAAGCTGTGCTCAATCATCTCCCTTTGGAAGACTTCACAGAATCTCCCACTGGGCTGGCTGTCACACACAGGCTCCTTGTAGAGTCATGAGCATCTTGACCCTCCTAAGTGTCAAGAACTGTCTGGAATCTCAGCACCTAATTTAGACTAGATAGCCAGGTAACCATTTAGAATAGGAAGGTTCCCTGGATGTGTGGCACATACCTGTAATCCCAGCACTTGAGAGTCTGAGGCAGGAGGATCACCCTGAGTTAAAGACCAGTCTGAACTACAAAGAGAGACCCTGTCTCAAAAAACAAAACAATAGGAAGACTTCTTCAAAGCTTAGAATGGCCATGGTGGCTCATGTTTATGGTACCCCTTAGATAGATATATACACACCCCTCACTTCTAAGGCCCCTTAGAGGGATGCCAGAGCCAAGGCTCACAAGAGAACATCCTTCCTGGGAGGGCTCAAGGTGACTTGTTCTGAGGCAGTAGCTGAGTCTGAAACTGAGATCACAGTAATTTGCTGTACCTTCATTCATAGGAAGAAAACTCTGTGACACCTCAGTACTCTGAGAAATTAGAATTATTGTACCTATTTTGTAGATGAAAAGACAAAGGCTCAAAAAGAAGTGGCTAATCTGGGGCCATCCAATTGGGAGATACTAGTCTGGCCTGTCTGATCTCAAAAGTCCCCATCATGGGGCTGGGTAGTGGCTCAGTGGTACAGTGCTTGCCTAGCATACATGAGGTCCTTGATTTAACACCTAGCACTATCAGGAACACATGTGGGTATTTAAAAAATTGTTTGTTTGTTTGTTTCTCCTCTTTCTGCTGGAATCTATCCTCAAGATTGAGCTCCTTCCCTCTCTAGTCTTTCCTTCTACCACTCTATTTTTTTTTTGAGATAGGATCTTGCTATATAGTTCATTCTGGCCTTGAACTCACTAAAGAGCCCTAGACCAGCCTCAAACTTTTGGTAATCCTCCTGCCTCAGCCTCTTCACTGTTGGCATTCTAGGTGTGCAATACCATGCCTGCTAAAAAAGAAAAAAAGTGTTTTAAAAATTCCCATCAGGGTTAGGGATTTAGCTCAGCGGCATAAGTGCCTGCCTTGTAAACACGCAGTCATGAGTTCAATCCCTGGTACCAAAAAAAAAAAAAAAAAAAAAATTCCCATCATGGCTAGGCCTGGTGGTACATTCCTATAATTCCAGCACTTGGAAAGCTGAAACAGAAGGATTGCTGTAAGCTCAAGGCCAGTTTGAACTACATATTGAGAACCTGTCTAAAAAAACAAAAACAGGGCTGGGGATTTAGCTCAGTGGCATAAACATCTGCCTGGCAAGCGCAAGGTTGTGAGTTCAATCCCCAGTACCAAACACAAAAACAAAACAGTTCTAGAGTCAAGTGGGGACTAGTCAAGAGAAAGAGAAAAAGGCATCATCAGCTTCAAGGCCCAGGTGAGCACAGTGTTTGTGTGGAGCAGAAGCAGAGGAGGCTGTGTAACATAGGAGCCGCAGGGAGAAGTCAGAGGCAGGGCCTGAGGCACTGGGAACAGGAAAAATAGGACTAGTACTGAAAGACTGTTCCATGTTTGCAAGAGAAACTAAGTGCCAGGTACTATGTTAGGTGCTGGGTACATAGATGTGAACAAAACAAGCTTTCATGAGCTATGGGGGAAAAAACAAAACAAACAAACAAACAAAACAGGAGTAATGTGGAGATGACTAGGCAGCTAGTGTGCTTTGAGGAGTTGTCATCTGAACTAAGACCTGACGAAGGAGAAAGGCAGACATCACACATTGCAGGAAAAGTGCTCCAGCCTGTACAAAAGTCCTGGGGCAGGAATAAGTATTATAGGTTCAGGGAGCTGAAAGAAGCCAGGGAAATTGGAGCTTTTGGAGCATGATGTCAGAAAAGAGATCAGTCACAGTTGGATGGTCCCAGGCTCAGGGTGTAGGAGAGAGTTTAGATTAGCTTCACTGGCAATGGGAACCTCCAAGAAAGAAAGCTGTGATGTGGTAGAGCTACATATTTTTTAATTTTTATTTTGGGGTTCCCTCCAATCCATTTTATTTCAAGGAGAATAAAAGACAAACATTTTTCTAAAAATTTCAACACTTGAGAGTCAAGGGGCAACAATGGTACATACATTGCACATTGTCATTCTCTTTGGGGGATTTTTTGACACAGGATCCTGCTATGTATTTTTAGCTAGCCTTGAACTCACTATGTAGCCCAGCTGGCCTTGAGCTCAGGCAGATCCTCCTGCCTCAGCCTCCCCACTGCTAGGATTACAAGGAGCTTGTGCTACCACTCCTGCCGCAATTCACATTTCGAAAGTGTCATTTTGTGTGCGTCAACGTGCGGCCCAGGCTGCAGAAAACAGGAGTGGGGCCCAGTGACCCATGAAGCAGCCAGGAGGCTGCTGCCGTTGAAGGGCCGGAAATGCCGGGGTCTTGTCCCCAGCGGTTGCAACAGACACATGGAGACAAATTGTTGGACAGCGCGGGACACTATTTTGTAGGAGGAGCCAATGGGTGAAACGAATAAGAGTGCGGAGAGAAGAGCAGGAGAGAGAGCAGGGCAGAGGTTGCTCTCCGAAGTCCAGATTCTGAATCCAGAGACTCCTGGCTGAACGACGCTGAGCCAGCAGCAACACCTCTGCTGCTCCGGAGTCTTCCTTGGAAGGAAGATGGTAATGGCTGCGAGGGCGGGAGGAGAGGAGGGAGGGGCAGGGCGGGAGGAGAGGCTTCTAATCGGGGGAGGCAGACCCCCGGGTGCGCGCGCCTCTCGGTTCTGCAAAGGGAGGCTCCCGCTTGGCATTGCTCAGGGCTCGGGAATCTTGCTCGGTGTCACAAAGCCAAGCCAAGGACCCGAGCTTTGCCTTCGGTGACAAGAGCGTCAGTGAACCCCACGGCCACTCAGATCTCTCAAGAGTGGTAGGGTCATGTATTTCGGGGGCCATCAGTGAGGGTGGTGATAGAAAGTGGAGACCACATCCCTAACAGAGACGGGAGCGGGACAAATGTCCGCTCGCTCTTCGCCTTAGCCCCTGACCTGCTGGGGGACCTCCCGTCTGTTTTCACGGGCAGATGGGGGAAGTGAGATTCCGAGCGACGATCCGATGCCAGGTGTGGTGGTGCACGCCTGTGATCCCGGCACTCGGGAGGCTGAGGCGGGAAGATCGCAAGTTCAAAGTGACTAAGTAGCGAGACACTGTCTCATCTCAGAAACTAAACAAAACAGAACAAAAGCCAAAAACCAAACGAAGGTCTGGTGCTCTGGGCGCTCCCTCTATGGCAAGCACTCTGAGGGCCTCCCTTGGGCGGAGGGAACGTGGCTCTGCAGAATCAGCAAACGACCAGCAGAGGGCGCGCGCTCGGACCACAGCGAGGCCAGGGCTGCCCAGAGCCGGCAGACCCTAGGCAGGGAGAGGCCCCAAGGGGAAAGCTGCCGTTTCTGCTGTGCTGCCTGCGGTCACCACGCAAGAGGTCATATCTTCGAATGTCTGATCCAAAGGTTGTCTAATCAAGGGGGTGACGACAATGGTGGTGGTGGTCACAATGATGGTGTGATGGTGCAGGGACTCGGCCTCTGGATTTTCTAACCAGGGAGCACCCAGTGCCTGCTGCTTGGGATGATTCACTCCCTCCCCAGCAGCCCGTCTTCACTGTCAGACCTTTTTATTTTTTCTAATATCAAGATTGAACCCGGAGCCACACAGAGCTTCGTCCTCAGTCCTTTTTATCTTGAGACAGAGTCTTGCTAAATTGCCTGGGCTGGGCTCAAACTTGAGGTCCTGCTATCTCAGCCTCCCACAGTGCTGGGATTACAGGCTCAAAACCTGTTCCCTAGGAAACATCTTCCTGGCCTGCCTAACGCCCTTCTCAGAGTCACCCTGCTGACCTCAGGGCTCATTATTTTCCCAAAGTCTGCATGAAAGTCCGTGGGAGGCCACAGAAGCCAGACCCTGGCAGGTGGGTTCCTACCTTTGCTGGGAAAAATAAAGCTAGTGAACAAATCCAGGCAGCTTTCCCAGAGGGGGATTCTCCATGGGTCTTATTCTTGCTGCCCAAAGTTCCTTTTCTATCAGCTGGGAAGAAATCAGTAGAAGGAAAGTCCCAGTGATCTTCTGTCCCACCCATCACTGCTCCAGCTTGGGAGCGGCTGGAGGTGAGAGGGGGACTCTGGTGTTCTATCCTGGAGGCCTCAGCACTGGTCCCCGACTGCTGACACACCAACTGTGAGGCAGGTCCCAACGTGAGTGCTCCTGGGTTTGACATTGTGGGGCTTGGTGATGAGGGCGGGGGCCAAACAGTCCTGGGCTCAAACCTGAATGCAACTCATTCCTTACTGTGTGTCTACAGGCAAATCACTCCATCTCTCTGAGGCTTTCTTTTCTCTCTCTCTCTCTCTCTTCTCTCTCTGTCTCTCTTCTCCTTCTTCTTCTTCCTCCTCCTCCCCTTCTTCTTTCTCCTCCTCTTCTTCTTCTTCTTCTTTTTAGACAAGGACTTGCTATATAGTGCAGCTTGACCTTGAACTCTTAGGTAGCCCAGACTGGCCTTGAACTCATGATGATTCTCATGCCTCAGCCTCCCAAGTGATGGGATTACAGGCATGCACCACCATGCCTGGTTCCAAGCTTGTTTTTTCATCTGGCACGTTTCTGAGTGGCACTGTGAGGACTACGGGAGATGTAACATGTGAAAAAAGAAAATGCAGTCCCCAGCACACAGTAAGTGTGAATGCTGCAGTGGGTGTTAAGAAGTGGAAGTCCCTAATTTCCCCACAATCTTCCTTGCATCTGAGTGGGCCAGGGTGGCTGTGGGAGTCATGTCAGCCAGGGTGATGTCCTGACCCACTTTTGGGTTTGCAGGCCAAAGCTCCGAGCATTGTGCATGAGCCTGTATGTGCAGGGGTATGCATGTGTGTTCACAAGGGAACACATGGGTGTGCATACACAAGCATTGCATGTGCATGTGTGTGCAAGGGTGTGCATGTATACATGCATGTACCAAAGGGTGCCCAGCCCAAGGATTCCCTGGGCATGTGCTTTACTTGCAGGTACCGATGCAGTATCTCTGCAATGATTCTGGAGGCCCCTTTGCTCAGTTACTATGGAAACAAAGAGGCAATCCCCAGCTTCCTTGGGAGAACCTAAGGTGCTAGGAATGAGAGCTGGCCTGGTCTTCCCCAGAAGAGAGACAGATTGGGAAGCCCCTGGGATAGGGTAACCTCGACTCCTAGGGTAGAGCTCTGAGGTTCTGGGTACCCCTGGGAAATCTTTACTCCTCCAAGGCTGCCTGTTTCCTGCAAAGAGCTTGGAGATGGAGCTGGGTCACTTCAGATCTAGCTCTAACTCTTTGGGTTCCGTTTCCTTTTATAAGATGGGTAAAACTGGCAGGCGGCTGTGGAACCTAGAACTGGATGGAGTGTGACCTCTCCCCTCTCTGAAGGCCTGGCCTCCAAGCTGTGGGTGTTCGGGTACTGACTGTCCCCGAACAGCTTTCTTCATGTGCACCGCCCTCCGTACTGTCTTAGGGGCTCCTCACAGCTCTGTGTTTTTTTGTTTTTATCGGTACCAGGGATCGAACTCACAACTGCCTGCTTGCAAGGCAGGCCCTTATGCTGCTGAGCTAAATCCCCAGCCCCATCCTCACAGCTCTGGAAAGGACCGAGGCTCTAGGAGGCACAGCTGGCCAGTGGTGGGGCTGTGTCCACCAGCCCTGACTCGCTCAGGCCCAGGCCTGAACCACATGCATAGCCACTCAGCCCTCAGAGCCATCCACATAGAGGCCTGGAGATGAAAAGCAGGCTTCAAGATTGTGAGGAGCAGGCTGGGCCACTGACAATGGGTGCAGCTCAGCCTGGGCAAGCCCTGGGCAGGGCTGGCCACAGGAAGACTCTGGAAGGCAGGCAGGTCCCAGTTTAGGAAGAACTTTCTCTTTAAATCTGTGCTTAAACCAGGTGTGCTGGTGCACTCCCATAATCCCAGCACTCAGGAGGCTGAGAGAGGAAGATCAGATCGTTGCAAGTTCCAGACCAGCCTGGGCTACAAAGTGAGCCCAAGGCCAGCCTCAACTGCATAGTGAGACTTGCCCACATCCTCACCCCAAATCTTGGTGCTTGAGGTTTTGACTCAGGTCTCACACACCCTGCATACAGGTTGTAATGCACTCAGACAGAACTGTGTACCAAGTGACAAGCGGAAGCTCAGTCTCCCGGTCCTTTGCACTGTCAAGTGATTACTGTCTTTGTTGTGACCCAGGAATGATTTCAAACAATTCAGGATAGACCAAAAGAGACAATGAAATGAAGTTTCACGGCCATGGAGCTGTGGAAGAAAGATCTGAAAGTCCATCTGTCAGAGGCTGTAACTGGGGAAGCTGCCCAAAGGAAAGGCCTGCAGTGACTGCAGGCAAGGGCCTGTCCCTCTCTAGTCCACCCCTGAGGCCCTTCCAGCTAGGAGTGGCTTCCCCCGGCAGAGGGAAGAGCAGTGAGTATGCTGGGCAATCGTTGGCTGGGATGTGACCTCAGCTGTCGCTTCTCCCAGTCCCATCTAGATCCAATCCCATGGAAAGATTAGGGCTGGGAGAGGCCGGGGAGCCCCTTGACTTGGTGTGGGGGGGACCCGGGGTGCTGTACTGGTGAGAGTCACAGGGCAAGGGGAGGTACCAGGGTAAGGCTGAGGTGGGAGGTGAGAGTTGGGGGCTTACCACGGAGCCACTCGGATGGTCCTTTACTTTGGAAGGCAGTGCAGAGCCATGGAAGGTTTTTAAGCAGACAGAAAGATAATCAGATTTAGAGAAACTGAGCACAGCAGGGGGAGCTGCAAGGAGGCCAGGGCAGATCTGAGCAGGAATGGGGCAGGCAGGGAGGCCCCTGGTGGAGCTGGCTGGGCTTGGGAAGGGAGCATGTGCAGAGGTGGGCAGGAGGAGTGGCCGAGGTAGGCAGGGCCTTGGGCTTGTTTGGTGGATGGAGGACAGGGCAGCTGCTTGCCAGGCGGTGGATGAGCTGACACTTGACTGGCTCAGGTCCAGGGTGTGTGTGGGCTTCTGGGAGCAAGTCCAGGAAGCAGCTGGAAATGCAATTTGACAGAGAAGGAACCAGAAGGTCAGAGGTGTTGTTTTTGCCAACTATCTCAAAGCCAGGAAAAGGCCCTACCAGGATCTGAACCCAGGTCTTGCTAAAATTCAGCATTTTATTGGTTGGAGTCTGTGACTCAGGCTCAGAACCTTTAATCAGGAGTTGGGTTCTTCTCGGGGAGCCATAAAGCCATTCCCTGTTGCCAAGCCCAGCAACCTCAGGGGCACAGCCAGTAATGTCTCCAAGCCCACACCTGTGCTCAGCAGAAGGCCCCCTGCCAGCCAGCTCCAGCCTTTGGGCACCAACACCCTGCTACCCACCGAGCTCTGTAAGAGGCCTGCCCCACACTGTCCCCTGGGCATCGACTGTGTGCAGGCCTGGCACCAGGCTCTTCTTTGGCCTCTTTTCTCTCCATCCTCACAGTCACCTTGAGGGCAGTACAGACCAGAGAACAAGGTTCAGCCCTTCTGTGGGGGTGGGAGTGGGGAGCAGCTTGTGCAACCTGGACAGGCATGCTAGTTCCCTGCACCCCACATGCGGAGCAAGGCTCCCCCCCACCGAGGGTCCCCAGCTCCCACAGCGCCCCCCACTTGGCCCCTGACTTCAGTCTGCAGTTTCGGTTTGCAGGATGTTCCCAGCCCTCCCCAACCGCTTGGCTCCTCCTGGCCACCTCTCTTGGGAACATCCAGGCCCTCCCTGCCCCCTCCCGGGCTGTGCTCCTGGCAGCGCTGCCACCCTGGGCTCTGGTCCGGGGGTGGTCCCTGGCAGAGAGGGAGGCAGGCGGAAGCTGGGATCAGTGGGGCTGAGACGCTGGGCATCCAGAGACCCCCCAGCTCATCACTCCACAGCTTGCTGCACACCAAACTGGGTGGGCAGGCCTTTTTGGAAAGGGGTGGCCTGAGGTTTTAATCACTTTATCAATGTTTGTTTGTGTAATTCAGCCCCGAGATGCTTTTCCCTCCATCTGTCCCCACCATCTGCTCCCATTGGGATTTTCCAAACTGTTTGGGACCCAAGAGGTACTGGAGTAGGGGATGGGCTAGGCCTCTGTGAGGGCTGGGGAGAAGCCACCTCCACCTACCTCACTGAAAGGCTTCCTGGGAAGAACTGGGGGGGTTCCTGAGTCGCACAGAGCTGAGTTCAGATTTTGACACTCACTCGCTTGCCATCATACCTCAGGTAAGGAACTTTAAGCCTCTGAGCCTCAGTCTCCACATCTGTAAAATGGCAGCAAGATTAGTGATTCCTCAGGTTCACTGAAGAGCAAATGAGGCAGTCCCTGTAGGCCATTCTGCCTACCATAGATATGTGGTCCCCTCTTCCTTCAGCCCCAGGTGTACATAAAGAGAACTTACATCCCAAGCGCTGGTCTGTCTCTGGTAATACAGAGGGTGATTTCCCTGGTTTCTGAACCTTTCACCCCACTTCTTAGATCTTGAGACTTGCTCATTCTCTCATCGGTCCTGCCTGCTGCTCTGTTCTCTCAGTTAGCCACCTGCAGGTCCCCCAAGCTGGGGCCCCCCTTGTACCTACATTCCTCAGCCTGAGGTGGGAGGGACTGGCATCTTCAGCCAGGACCTCCCTGCTCCAGGAACTCTTGCCACAGGCCTTCCAAAGGCTCCAGGATCACGGTGCCGCATCTGTCTATGCCCATATCACCTGGCTAATCTTTCTGTTCAAGAGTCCTGCAGCACGGAGAGAGACCCCTCTACCCCTCCATTGTGAGCTATACCTCGAGATGCTGAGTTTTGGAATAAGGGCCTCTGTGTACAATGTGGGGAACTCCCAGAGTTCTCCTATTGGTCAGCACCCCCGCCCCGGTCTTCTCAGCCCCCAAAGAGGTGCAAGGAGCCCAGATCCTGCCGTCGGAAGCCCCCATCTGCTGGGGAGACAGGAGGTCCTGCGGACACACTCCGAAAGAACAGTGGTGGAAGGGGCTGGGGATTTAGCTCAGCGGCATAAGCACCTGCCTTTCAAGCAGGCTGTCCTGAGTTCGATCCCCGGTACAGATAAAAAGATTAAAAAAAAAAAAAAAAAAAAAAAAGAACAGTGGTGGAGCCAGCTGAGCCAAGCAATCAGCCTGGGGGAGGCAGGAGTGAGGGTGAACCGAGCGCCCTTCTCCCTGGGAAGGATGGAAAGGAGGATCCAGACCAGGCTGAGAGGAAGGAGTCCCAGGGAGAAGGAAATGTTGAGAAAGCCACGTCCCAAGCTTGATGGCCCCTCTGGAATCCTGAGGAGAGCAGAGCGAGGCTGTCACTTGAGGGCTTGGGTGGGGGTGGAGCAGCTCTCTGCTCCCCAGCACCTGCGGGTCCTCATTCCGGAGGCAGCTGGGAACCACCCACGTACGTCTGGCGTCTCTCACGCCTCCTCGGGGGTCCCAACACTAGACGCAAGGTACACCGAGAAGCTCCTGTTCCGGGGGGCCCAGCTGGCAACATGCCACCCTGGCCTGGCTCCCCAGTTCTTCCAGTGGAGACCTCCTCACCTGCCCCCCAAGCAGGAGGGATGAAGGCTACTCACGCAGTCAGGCGGCCTAGACTGCAGCGTCTGGGAGGTGGAGCTTCGGTCTAAGCCCTGAGGAGCCAGGACGTTCTGAATTACAAGCCCTGACGGAACGGGACTGGGAGGAGCTTCGGGCAAACGCTTTTAGCTCTATCGACCTTCTCAGGGGGTCCAGAGACCAGACCCACCCTTGCCACGCTGCGCTCTTGCTTTTCTTTTTTGAGACAGGGTCTTACTTTGTAGTGCAGGTTGACTTTGAACTCACTGTGTAGCCCTGATTGGCCTTAACTCATGGCGTTTCTCCTGCCTCAGCCTCCTAAGTGCTGGGATGACAGGCGTGCACAACTACACCTGGCTCCTGCTCCCATTCTTGCCTCCCACTCCTCAAAATTTGTTCTCAACGAGCTTTTGACATGGAAGTCAGACCCTTCTACTCTGCTCCAAGCTCCAGGATGCCACCTTTTCCCAGAGGATGTATGTAATACACTGCAGAACTGATTTGTCTTTATATCTATTGTTTCTTGTCCTATCAGTAACTCTGTTAGCTTGAATGGTGCTGGGTAAAGAACACACACTTGATAAATATTGGTGGAATAAATGAATGAGAGCACACGGGTTCAAGTAAGCCCAAACCCTGGTCTCACCTGCTGTGGGACATTGGAAAAAAAATCACTTAACTCCCTTGACTCTCAGTTTCGTCATCTGTAAAGTGGGACAATAAGGACCACATCCTAGAGATAGGGACTGAATTTAAGCCCATGATGGGGATCGTTGCCAAGGTGGATGCAGGACGATGCAGCCTCTTTACCCCGAGGAGGAGCTGAGCTTCGTGCAGGCGAGGACAGCTGCCTCTCAGGAACCCCAGCTGGAGAGACTTCCCTCCCCGCACAGGTCGCCAGCCCGCGCCGGCAGAGGCTGGAGGGGGCAGTGGGAGGAGCCGGTGTTTCGAGGTGGGGAGGGGGCGGGAGGTGAGATCCGGAGTAGCAGGCAGGGGGCGGGCCCTGTAAGGTGGAGGTGGGTGGGGGGCGTGTCTGGCCGCCCGTTGACTGGGGACTGAGGGATGGGCGCTCCCCCCGCCCCCTTCCCCCCCAGCTCAGTGGGTTCAGGAGTTGACGCGCGGAGGCAGGCAAGGTGCCCATCAAGCCACCCAGGATCCGGATTCCGCCCTCCGAGCGACGTGCGGCCCGGCGCCCAGGTAGGACCTGGAGAGCAAAGGGGCCGCGCGGCCGGGGATCGTCGGCGGCTGGGGAAGAGGTCTCGGCCCCGACCCGCCCCTCCACGCAGCCTTCCCCAGTGGAGATGCTGGGGAGGTGGGGACCCGGGTGCCTCCTGGAGATGGGGACAAGGGAAGTGAGGGCGCCCCTTTCCCTCTGCCGGGCGGGGGCGGAGCCTAACGCACCGCTCTCCCCACCCCCGGGCGGAGGGGACCCCCCCAGGGGAGGGGCTCCGGGCGAACGCTGCGGGGCGTCTCCTTCGCAGTCCCGCCCGCCCGCCCTCCGGCCGCCTCTGCCGCCGCGCGCCGCAGCAGCGCCGCCTTCCCTGCGCAGTCGGTGTCTCGGCGTAGCTGGGTGAGTGGGGGCGCCCCGACTGGGGCTGGGGGATGTGGGGTGGGGCAGCCCTGGAGCCGGGGGCCACGTCCAGGCTCCTCAACCCCGCGGCTGCCAGCGCCTCTGGGGATTCCTCCCGCCCCGAGTGCGAGGAGCCGGGGCTCCCCCCGCGACGCGTGGCGCTCTCCAGGGTCCTGACCGCTGCGTGGCCAGCCCGGGGGAGTCGCTGCTCGGCCGCCCCGGAGCGCCCCCTCCCGGAGGGGTCGCGCGCCAGACGCCCTCGGAGCGCTGGAAGAAATGAGGCGGGGGCTCAGCGCAGAGCCGGGGGAGGTCTGGAGTGGGAACCCGGCGGGGAGGGGGCTTCTCAGGTCGAGCCGTGAGGTTTTTTTCTATTTTGGGGTCTAGGGGATCCTTGCAGGGACAACAGAATCTTCTTCCAGCGGGGAGGGGCAACTCCGAGGGTGGCAGGGAGGAGAGTGCACTGTAGAAGCTCTCCTGCCCAGAGCATCTCTCTGCCCCCTCCCCGGTGACCCAGTTCCTTAGACCTTGAGGAGGGGGGTAAGAGGCACACGCCCCTCATCAGCCCAACGTGTTTCCTTGCCCCTTCCCACACACATGCTCTGGGGGTCCTCAGCCTGGGCCAGAAGAGGCTGATCTAGAAAGGGGGGGCACCAACTTACAGAAACATGCATGTGACACACTGCTGAGGACACACGCAGATCCTCCAAATGATCACACAGCTACATTCCCTTCATACTGTGACAGGTGTGTACCTGGTCACATGCACCTATAATGCATATAAACGGACATAGATGGAAGCGCAGAAAGACAAATGTAGTGCAGAACCCGGGCACACACACCATGCATGAGCACATGCATTCTCATACGTGTGCCTGCCCGTATGTGCATAAGGAACCCCCTTGCCCTCTCACACTCCTCCCCACATTCAGGGGAGGGTCACTCGCATGTCCCTACATCCCTGCCCAGAACTGCTTGCCAGCCCCGCTCCTTCACGTTCCTTTTGGCCTCACAGTCAACCCCCTGCCCCGAGGAGACCTTTCTGGATTTGACAAAAAGGGAGCATTCCATGGGCTGGGGAGAAAAGGAGCCCCGGGCAGGTCTGGGAAGGGGTGCAGTTCCCTTTCCTGGGTCCTGATAACACCCCTGGAAAAAGAAAGGAAAATGACAAGGGTGCTGAAGGTCCCACATGCATCTGGCCATGTGAGAGGTGCTGGCATGTGAGTTGGCGTGTGATGGCATGTCTGAGACATGTGGGGTTGGGGGCTGGTATGTCTTGATGTACAAGATACGGGAGCTGTGCATGCCACCGAGGGTCAGTACCTGTGAGTTGTGGGTCAGAGATGTTGGTGTGTGTGGAAGCATGGTGACCCACGGGTGCTGTGGGCTGGTATGTGAGCAGCATGGAATTCCGTGTACGGATTTGATGAGCTGCGTAACATATGTGTCAGGATAGATTTGTTTGCATATTGTTTTATAGGATATTTGTGATACTTGTGCGCACGTAAATTTTATTTATGTAACACGTATGTAGCCCTTCTTATTGGTATAGGCATGGTCCTAAGTGTCTCCCACGTGTTAATTTACCCTCCAACAATCCTGTGAGGTAAGTGCTATTATTATCCCCACTCTACAGATGAGACAGAAAGAGCTTAAGGAACTTGCCCAAGGTCACATAGCCGGTAAGAAACAGAGGTGGGATTCAAATTCCAGTGATCTGACTCTAGAACCCAAGATAATATCCGTGCTGTGCCCCTTGTCGGGCACACCTGTTAGAGACAAAAGAGCTCTGTCTGAGCTGCAGATGTATTCTTGGGGAGCAGGCACGGGGAGCAAGGAGAGGACAGTGGTAGGAAGGGGGACCAGAAGGTCTTTCTGTACCCTCCTGAGCAACTCGGGGAGTCAGTCCTGTCATGCGATGGCTGCGTGACCTGTGCCCTCCTCTGAGCCTGCCTTATTATCTGGAAAATGGGGCTAATTCCAGACTCCCCCTTCAGGGAGAAAGGTGTGCACTTTGAAGGCTGAGCGGAGGCTCTAAGGCGGGCCTCCACGGACGCGAGCCCCTTTGCTTCCTCCTCCTCCAGTTCTGTTCCTGGGAAACAGTGCAGAGTGGTGGTCCTAAAGGCCGGTGGTGACACTGGGCCAGTTCCTTTTTGGCCGGCTCCAAGAGGTCAGGGTGTCTGGTGTCCAGGGTCCCTTCTGGAGTGGGATCAAGGGAGCAGGAGGGCCTGACCACTCTTCTCTGTCCCTTGACCCACTGGGGGCCCAGGTGGGACTTGGCTCTGCGGTCATGGGCAAGCAGAACAGCAAGCTGCGGCCGGAGATGCTGCAGGACCTGCGGGAGAACACAGAGTTCTCGGAGCTGGAGCTGCAGGAGTGGTACAAGGGCTTCCTCAAGGACTGCCCCACGGGTATCCTCAACGTGGATGAATTCAAGAAAATCTATGCCAACTTCTTCCCCTACGGTGACGCCTCCAAGTTCGCGGAGCACGTCTTCCGCACCTTTGACACCAACAGCGACGGGACCATCGACTTCCGGGAGTTCATCATCGCACTGAGCGTGACCTCGCGCGGCCGCCTGGAGCAGAAGCTCATGTGGGCCTTCAGCATGTACGACCTGGATGGCAACGGCTACATCAGCCGGGAGGAGATGCTGGAGATTGTGCAGGTGGGCCCGGGCCCCTCGCTGCCAGGCTTGTCCTTACCCCTTGCTTTTAGCCCTGGACAGACCGTCGGCAAAATGACCGATTTAAAGAAGCGGTGAGAAACCTCCCAGTACCTTAGCCCAGAATCACCAGTTAACATTCTGCTTTATTTTGATGTGCATGCAATGCTTTCTTGTTGTTCTGAACACTGACCCTTTACCCTTAGGTAAAAAAATGTATTTCCTAAGAATAAGGACATTCTCTTACATAATGTATAATATGATTAGCCATGTCAGGACATTTAACATAGAAATGATGCTATTATCTAATCTACAGACTGTATTCCAGTTTTGCCAACTGTTTCCATAATATTCCCTAGAGCATTGTTTTCTCTTGGTCTAAGATCACACACTGAGTTAGTTTTTTTGTTTTGTTTTGCTTTTTTTGGTTTTGTTTGGAGACTGGGTCTTTCTATGCAGTTCAGGCTGGCCTTGAACTCCCAGCACTCCTCCTGCCTCAGCCTCCCAAGTGCTGGGATTACAGGTGTGCACCCTCACCTCCAGCTATGCATTGAGTTTTATTGTCATGTCTCCCTAGTCTCTTTTAATCTGGGTTAATTTTTCAGCCGAGTCTTTCATGACTTGACATTTGTGAGGAGTATAGAACAGTTGTGTTTTATTGATCTTCATTAACTCAGGAGGAAACATGCTCAGAGAGGTCGAGGCACTTGCTTGAGGCCACACAGCCTGTGAGTGGACCAGTTGGCTCTAATGCCCACAAAGCTTCCGGATACTCAGCCAGTTTCCAACCAAGGGATCACCAACAGCTCACTAGAGAGTGAGACTCTTCATATCCAGGAACTCAGTGCTTCCTTACTACAACTCCACGAGGCTCAGCAAAGTGGAGAGACTTTCCCAGAGTCACACAGGACTTAAGTGGAATCAGGCTTAGGTTGGCTGCCACCCAGAGCTGCCTTTTGTGAGGCCTCTGGACTCCTAGTCAGGAGTTCTGGCTTCTGGTTCTGGAATTGGCCTTCACTTTTAGGTTGCTCGTCTGATATGACAAGCTTTAGGGACCTGACATGACTGCCCTTGCTGGGTACAAACCGAGGTGTGATAAATACCAGCTTTGTTTGGAAAAGTCTTCCAGAACATTCATCCTCTTAGCCAGCATCGAAGATGGTCAGGCCTTGGTTCTCTTTGATCTCAGAGTCTTACCCACTTCCCCCTAAGCTTTTATAGCTTTCTTTCCGGTAGATGGGGGTGTTGAGCCCCTACTTCCCAGGCTATTGCAGGGATAAAGGGGACTTTGGTTCTAGCAGAGCGCCTCGCACATTCTTGGTTCTCAGTGAACGTTAGTGCCGTAGTCATTGCTTCTCCTCCATGTGTCCTCTGCTGTAGCCGGGATGGCCCAGAGCACACATCAGGGATGCTGAGATGTGCCTGGGCAAAACCACTGCAATGCCTTGCACGAGCCCTTGCCACTCTCCTCCGTCTCTGAATCTTCTTCTATCCAGTCTCCAATTCTGCAGGCGGCCACCCCTTCCGTCTCATCCACCCCAGTTGGACTTGATTTTGGGCCTCACTTGCTAAGGGTCTGGATCCACGCTTCCCCGCTTGAGTGGAATGGCTGCCTTGGCAAGTGACGCTCTTCCTGTGCCTACCGCCTGAGTGTTACTGACTCCTCTGGGCCAGGGGTTAACTCTCAGATACTGGATGCCGGGGACTTCTGGGGGTCTTGATGCAAGGGTCAAGGTAGACAGGGTGGAGGAGCACTCAGGACTCACTGCATAGCAGCAAATCCAAGGGAGACTCACGTTCTACCACTGAGCATGGACAGTTGCCCTGGTGGCGCTGGTAACACAGTCCTCCCACAGCCACCACACCCTGGCAGCAGTCAAACCAGCCCCACTCCTTGGCATCCCCAGGACTCCTTTCTGGCTGGTCTGGCTACAATGCCCGTCTTCTATAATGACAGACACAGGTCTCAGACAGCTGGCGCAGACAGAACTCTGCAAACCCCAGTGCCTGATTAATGACAAGTAGGCGCCAGTGAAACTATGATCGGGCAGCAATTCCAGACAATTAATTAGGAGGCCCAGGAGAAGGGTTGTTGCAGGGAGCGTGGTCACTCGCTAAGTCATTGCTCAGTCCTTCTCAGGATCCAGCCTGGTGCTTGTGGTGACACAATGGGAGGAAAGAGTGTGCCTCCCGGGGCTCCCAAACTGGGGTGAAAGATCACTGTGCAGGCCAGGCTGACCAGCCCAGTGACAGAAGGTGACATCTGGAACCCAGAGGATGGGAGATGGGGGAGGCACTGAAGACTTGGTGGATGAATAATGTCTATCATATGAAGTACTATTTAGCGACCATTTACTATAGCCATCCACTGTTCCAGCTGTCACATCTCCTTTAGTCCTCTAGAGACTCCTAATAAGGGAAACACAGTTTCTCCCATTTTACAGATGGTAACTGAGGCTCACAGAAGTTAAGTACTTGTCCAAGGTTACACTGTGAGTGAGTAATGGATCAGGATGGTACTGTCCATCTTACATCCACGCCCACACTGCCCAAGCATCCCTCCAGCAGCTAAGAGAGTAGGTTCAAATGTGATCTCTGCCATTCATTCCTTTCCTGAAAGGAATGAGGAGATTTTCAGGGCTGTTGTGAAATTTAAGATAATGCATCTAAAGGACCTGGCAAATTGTGGTTTTCTGATAAACGGTAGCTTGTAGTAGAATTCCAAGCAAAGACTGTGAATGCTGGGAAATCTGAAGGACGCAGGGTTGTTTGATTGTGGTAGATTTACCCCTCTGGGGAGGGCTGAGGGTGGCGAGGTCAGAACGGGCAAACTGCGAAGTGTCTTGAATACCAAGGACCAAAGGATTTGGACGAGGTACAGAAGGTGGTGGGAGGTGCCAGTGGCCTTTAAGCCGGAGGAGCCTGCCAGGTGTCAGGCACTGGACTTGTTTCTGAGGATGTGGGCACTGGCTAGTGTCTGAGGTTTTTCTCTCTACAGCAGGGACTAGTGTAGTCCTATAGATGCATAATTACTTCCTGAGAGGCATCCTCAAAGGAAAAGCCCTGAGGCTCTGGGCTTCCTGTGTGCCCTGATTCAGTCTGGGTCAGAGATGGCTTCACTAAGGAAGCATTGTGTAAACTGAGCCTCTAGGAAGAGTGGGAGGTAGCAGAAGGAGCGTGGGGCAGCATCCAGAAGGAGCTGGGTGCACGGCGGCCTGGAGGATGGCCCGAGTGTGACGGAAGGAAGTGAGGGGGTGGCCTGCTGGACCTGAACACGGCAGTGGAGATATGCGCTTGGAAAGAGCTTTAGAGGCAGTGTGGGGACAGACCCAAAGGAAATAGGCCAGAAAAGAGCAGCACAGAGGCAGAAGATGGCCTTCAGGGAGGGGAAGTTTTAGGAATGCAAGATGAGAGACTTTTGGAGGTGTCAGCCTGTAAGAGCTGGAAGGTTGAGACAACAAATGGGGTTTGTGAGCCCCAGGACGCAGGGACCCAGCCTACCCATGCCCTGGGCCAAGCACTAGGTGCTCTGTACATTTAGCACGACCATCCTCCTGCACCTCACCTCAGGATCTCCTGCACGCACGCGGCAGCTGCCGCCCTCAGCCCAGCAGAGCTCAGGCTGTCCGAGCCCGCTGGCAGATGCTCATTTGCATTCGTTTGCATAACGTTCCCACCACTGTGGAACCCCAGCTGCCTCAAGGCGGCTCTGCGCCCCCTGTGGGCCACAGACGGCAACGCAGTTCAGTGCCACCTCTAGGCCTGGCGCCCCAGTCAGCCACTCAGCTACCGAGGGAGGGTTGAAAAGGGCCTGGGTGATTTTGAGGGTTGGCGTTAGCTCGGTACCCACAAACCCAGGTGAGGCGCCAAAGCTCAGCGCTCTAAGCCCTTGGCCATCTGGGCCTCGACGTCCTCCAACATCTCTTCTGATTCCCTGCGCCCTCCAATCCTTGGCGCCTGTTCAGAGCTTTCACGCAGCGTTACCTCCTTGCATGCAGGTCCCTCAGCCAGCAATTCCTTTCCCATCCAGCCCGCCCCAGCAGCCCCCTCTTCTGGAGAGCCTCCCCAGCACCTCCCGGAGCGCCCCCCGCCCCGCCCCCACGCCGCTAGCCTTCGGGACCCCGCTCCAACCGCCCAGCTGGACGGGGGCAGCCCGGGGACGTCCCCGAGTCTGGGGAGGAGGTCCATTCTCACTCCCTGCCTTCCCTCTCGAACTCCAGGCCATTTACAAGATGGTTTCGTCTGTGATGAAGATGCCGGAGGACGAGTCGACCCCGGAAAAGAGGACTGAGAAAATCTTCCGCCAAATGGACACCAACAACGACGGTGAGGGGCCAGGGCTGGGACGGGGCGGGCGGTGGGCAGCGTCCCCCCCACCCTCGCGCTTCACCTCCCCGCGTCCCGGGCTGCGTCCCCCATCATTGCACGCTTCGCCCCGCAGGCAAGCTGTCCCTGGAGGAGTTCATCCGCGGGGCAAAGAGCGACCCGTCCATCGTGCGCCTGCTGCAGTGCGACCCCAGCAGCGCCTCCCAGTTCTGAGGGGAGGAGCCAGGCACCCCTCATCCCCGCCTTCACCGGTCCCACCCGGCTCTCAGCTTCCTTTCCCTCGTGTCCACCCAGGCTGGGGGTCAGACTGGGGACCCGCCCCCCTCCCCCGGGTCTGCACTGCGGGGGCCTCTGGAACTGGGACCCTGGAAGGAGGGGGCCCCAAAGCAAGCTGGTAGCATCCCTCTTCCGCAAATGGCAGACAGGCTCGGGTTTGTCTGTCCCTCAGAGTCAGGGCCCTCACCCAGACACCCAGCCGTCTCCCACCCACCCCCAGCCCTGAGGCCAGACCCCTCCCCAACCGCGGAAGGCTCAGGCTCAGGCTCAGGCTCGCCCCTCCTAGGGCTCAGCCTGGGGGCGGTGGGAAGTCACACTCAGGTGACCAGAGCCTGTCTTTTTACTTGGAGGGGAGAGGATTCCAGGCCTTTGAGAAAGGAGCTTCCTTAAGCCTCCCTTTCCCACAGAAGCCTTCAACCCTCCCTGCCCCAGCTCCTGCTGGCCCCAAGGCCAAGGCACAAATGGAAACCTCCCCCATCCCAGCTGTGGCTGCGGTCCCCTGAACCTGTCTGCCTTTTGCACTCGATGGACACAGCCAGCTGCAGACCACCAATTGAGCCCTGTGTATTGGCCTCTCTCTCTCTCTCTCTCTCACACACACACACACACACACACACACACACACACACACACACAGGCAGAGCCCCTCCACCATGTCCTGTGTGGGAAAGAAGAGCAGGCCCCTGGCCGAGCCCCGCCCCCACCCTGCATGCAGCCACACGAAGCATCTTTGTTCTTTTTAATAACTTCCAAATAAAGTTTCCCGTTTCAGTGCAGTGGGCTAGGTGCATGGGGCGAGGGGCTGAAACACCCCTCCTGGGTCCCCAAGGGTCCATTAAGCCCTCTTGGGCTGGCTCTAGGGATCCTTGGGCCATCTGGAACTTGCCAGCCATCTGGGCACGAGTCGCAGTGCAGGCTTGGTGGTGGACCCAGCAACCATGGGACTGCATGAGGCATCTCAGAGGGTCAGTGGCACAGAGCTGGGGCAGCTCATCAGGTTGCAGCCCTCCATGGGCTCTGCGCTCTGGATCTGTGGGCGCACAGCAGACTACTGCCCCTGGGTCTGGGCCAGGGTCTGCTTCAGGATACCAGGGGCATGGGCAAGTGCCAGGTTGGACCCTTGAAGCATCCCTTGTTTCTGGGCAAGTGCCAGGTCGGACCCTTGAAGCATCCCTTGTTTCAGGCTAGAGGCTCTTTGCCCTCTCAGAATTTGTTCTGGGCCCTGGGAGAGCCAGGTGTTAGCTGTGTGGCTTAGCCAGAAATCTGGTGAGTCTCCAAGCCTTTCCCTTTAGTCCTGGGAAGAAAACTTATGCCTCTGTTCTCAAGATGGAGCTTCATACAGATGGGCAGGGCAGACCAGCCTGGGCTCTCTGGCAAGGGCTCCCAGGGAACAGGGGAGTCAGGACTGTGGCGAGGACTTACCCTGTGGTGGCCGCTTTCCCCCCACCAGGGCTTCAGTTCCAGCACCTGGCGGGTAAGCTGGATGCAGCGCACAGCAAACACGCTCTCTGCCATGCAGAGCAGGAGTGAGATGCCCCAAAGGCACAGGCTGGAGCTCTGGAGGGCACAGGGGGCAGAAGTGGTTGTCTGGGGCTGAGGCTAGAGGACAGGACTCCCCAAATCCAGTGTGCTCCCTCTATGAGGTACTCACATAAATGCGTGTGGGGTCGAAGGGGCAGTCTGGTGTGAGCACCAGTAGTCCAGGGCTCCCAAAAGTGCAGACAGCTAGCAGTGCCTGGCCCTGGGTGGCAAAGGTCACTGCGATCGAGGCCAAGAGGCCAATGGCACAGGCCAATGAGAAAAGAGCACAGGCCACACTGGAGCTAAACACGGTCCAGCGCTGGACAGGAGAGGCCACTGGTCAGTGGACGTCAGGCTGCTGCATCCCCCACGCCCGCAGCACACCAGGCCCTGGGTGGTGGCTGCTGCCCCAACTCCACAGCCCCTTCCCAGGAAGTGTCACATACCAGAGCAGTGCTGGGGAGGTAGCGTGACAGCACGATGGCCGCAATGCCAGAGGAGATGACCTGTGGGGGAGGCTCAGGTCAACTCTGACCTCTGTGACGGAGGACAGCAAGGGGTCGGGACCACCCTCGGATAGGCAGGTTCCACTGATGCCACCTCTCCAGCCTCCACCTCTGTCTAACGCTGAGCGTGGGCCTAAGGGCCTGCATCTACACAGACGCATTGCCTGCTCATGACCCAGCATTATTTCTAAAACACAGTTGCTCCCTGCTAAAACCTTCCATGACTCCCCACTACTGATGGCTGAGTTTAGAACAGGGGACCTGTGTATGTCAGGTGGGGTGCATGATACTTGTGACATAGCTCCCTGGAATGGAAGAAACAAAGGATCTCAACTAGCAGATAACTAACCCAAAGCTACTATATTAAAATCGCCCAGGGTACTTCATGAAGTAGAATTCAAAATCCCTAGGACACTCAGTTATTCCAGGCTCTCCGTGACCCGGGCCCAGGCCTGCGAGCTGCTCAGCCCCTCCTGGGCCACTGTCCTTCCTCATCACTCTGATGTGGACACCCATGTGCAGCCAGCCTGCTTCTGACACCGCCAGGAGAACCTCCCCGCTCCGCTTCTCTGCCTCCATCTGGCTTCCAGACCACCCTCGGGCCCCACACAGGACCCCTGGCACACTGTTCTCCTGCAGAAGTCCCCTTGCTGCAACAGGCGTGACACAGCAGGGCTCCAGCAGCAGCTTCTATTTCACTGGACAGCCGTACTCAGGGCTTCAGCCTCTCTGGGCTAAGCCTCCTCTGCAGGCTGAGCTGGCTTTGAAAGCATCAGACCTCAACAGTCCAAATGGATTTGGCCTCTTTGTAATCAGCAGGAGGTTGGTGAATCCTGTAAAGCCTTGTGGGAGTAGTGAGGTTAACTGAATAAGGGAGTGTGAGGGGCAAGTGGTCCAGCCCAGAGCCCATCCCTGTGGCCTTCTCTACTTTTTATTTTTTGGTACTTAGAATCGAACTCAGGACCTTGTGTTTGCCAGGCGTGCACTGTGCCACTGAGCTACATCCCCAGCACCGTGGCCTTCTCAACCCTGCCTTCCTCACATGGCTGCTGGGAGGCACAGACAACCACGACTCCAAGGCCACCACAGGCACATGCATGGCCCTGTGACACTGGCAGAGCCCTCCTCCTTTTGTGGTCCAGAGGCCAGTGAACCTCAGCTTTATTCTGCAGGCAAAGAATAGACACAGAGAAAAAAGTCCTTCACCTGGGAGGCTCAGACACTGATGTGTCCCCCACAGTTGTGGCCACCTCTTCGACAGTCAGGAAAGGACTTTGCAAATCTGAGAATGCCAGGCCCCTTTATTTCTGTGGTCATCAGACGGGGCACACAGCCAGTGGCTACAGTCATGCAGTTGCTATAGAGCAGGTCGAATGCTAAGGCCCTGCCGAAATGGTTTTCTCAGTATCTCTAGAACAGGTCTTAGCCATTCCCGACTCCACAGCTGTGTACCTGCCACACTCCACACGTGGAATGCCATCCCTGCTCCTTTTCCTATATGCAAGCTCAAGAAGACCACACACCTGGGTTGGTAACTGCCCATCTGTGAACTCCTACTCACCCATCAATACCCAGAGACCTCCTCCACCTCTGTGAAACCTCCTTGCACCCTCCTGAGCTGCCCTGATCTTCCTTCCTCTTGCCCAAGGGTACCTTGAATATTCTCCTAATAACCCCAACTCACAGCAGTGTACACTAACCACTGAGCTAAACATCTCAGTGGACAGTCTCATCGGTACTCGCCAGGACCCTCTGAGATGGACATGCTTACCATTCATGCTTCATAGATGGGAAACTCAGGCAAAGGGTTGGTAAGCAGCATCACAGAGGTTGGCGCTTGGGGCTCCCAAGGGTGCCAGTGGGAACTCATCAAAGGCCTTTCAAGTCCCTCCCCTGTGCCAGCCACCCTCCCGGACTAGCCATACCACAATAGCAGAAGTGACCGACACGATGTTGACCACACAGTACTGCAGAGCCACGGCGTCGTGGGGTGCGGTCACGTAGCGCAGCACGGTGCCGTGCAGGATGGAGGCTGCAATGAAGCTCAAGTGGCCCAGCACCACCAGCACCAAGCCCGTCTTCATCAGCACCTTCTGGAAGTCATCCACACTCAGGGCACCTGTGGGGGCAGCGGTGTCAGGGCCAGGGTAAGGATCAGCCTGTTGGGCTGTAGGGAATAATGAACACTGGCTTCCCAGTCTATTTCTAGACGGCCTGAGGCCAGTAACTTGTCTTCTCTGAGTCTCAGTTTCCTTCTCTGTAAAGGGGTTCACAATCCCATTGTGAGAATCCTTGGGACTCTGAGGCTAGAAAGCACCCAGGTGCTAATCAGCAGTAGCTGCCCTTGTCAGGGCTCAAGGTCATGAGCAGCAGGGGTCTAATTCAGGTCTCTAGCTCTTGACTCAGGACCCTTGCACAATCTCTCATTCATTCATTACATAGATGCTCACTGAGTACCTACCTTGGACTAGGCAAGCCCTGGGCACCAGGGTGAGTTTGATAGTCACTGTCGAGGCCCCAAGGAGCCCACAGCCCACTGGGCAGGCCCTGCTTAGTATTCAGTTTGGTGGAGAAGACCTGACCTGGCACACGGCAGATACGAAGCTCAGTTGCAGAACCGAGCTGCCTAGGGGCTGGTGACCCCTGGGTCTCCGTCTGGAAGCTGAGAGGAAGAACCTGTGTCTCCCTCTCAGGGAAGGAGGTCCATGAAGCAGATGGGAAAGCAGGGAGAATTCTGGGCAGCTGGGCAAAGCAAGCTCCTAGAACAGGGGGCACTAGGTGGGGCTGAGGCAAATGGGGAAGGCCGGGACCAAGGGCAAATTCTAAGTGGCCCTTATCATCACGTCCCAGGGACAGGGAGTGCCCCTCTGCAGGCAGGCAGCTGCTTTCTGTCCCGCATTTCCCCGTTGGCTCCTGGCCCTGTGCTCCCTCACTCAGACACCTGGGACTGGAGGACGGTGGGGCCGGCCAGAGCCCAGAGACCTCCTCTTCCTTTAGCTGCTCGCATGAAATCTGACTTTGAGTCCTGTCCTAGGCCTCGGTCTCCCCGCCTGTGGCAGAGAGGATTGATCAAATTTGGTACATGTACAGGGCACTGCTGCTAAAGTTTACAAAAAAGAAGGAAAGAAAAGAAAGATGAAATGGAAAAAAAGCAATCAGTCGCTGAATGTGCTCGGGGACCCTGTGCCAAGAGGCAATGCCAGGAAGCAGGGGACACTTTTATGACTTGGCACCAACCCCTCCCCTCTCTGATCCAGATTCCCCAGGCATAAAACAGGAAGGGGACGCAGGGGCTGTGGCTCAGTTTTGAAGCAGCTTTGTGAGGCGCTGGGTTCCATCTCCAGTACCACAAACAAGACAGAACAACAAAAACCAGATAAGGACAGGTCTACCTGGCTGCTGACATCCTTGGAGCCTGCAGGGTCCTCTGTGGGTAGACCAAGGGAGGAGAAGCAAAGGACAGAGGATGGGCTGGACAGGCACGGTGGAGCTGGAGTGGCCCGGTAAGATGAACAGCCAGCCAAACAGGAAGGGGCATGGCCCTCCATTCTCCCTCCACCCACCTACTTGGCATGGCAACCCAGCACCAGGCTCAGATCTGTGCTGGAAAACAGCAGCATCCTGGGACCAAGAGTTTGATCAAACTTGGTGGCAGCTTGGGGCTATGATTATAACTCGGGGTAGTCTCAGGGCAGTTGCTGGCTTTATTTCCAGCTCAGCTTCTGGGAGCTTTTATAATGTGGAAGGCACACTTTACTCTCAGGAGGTAACTTCATCTTGCTAAGTGCTAGGTGATGGGTGCTATCATCCCCGTTTTACAGATAAGGAAACTGAGACCCACAGGTCTCTTGGCCAAAGAGGACCCTCCAGAACAGTCTGATGCCCAAGAGCAGCATCCCAGTGCCTCAGGAGTGGACCGAGAGGGACAAGCCAGTCTGTTCAGATTCGGTTTGGGTGCCTTTGGCAAGGTTGAGAGGCGTGGGCCTCGGCCCCCTGCCCTCCCATTCTGGTGACAGCTCTCTCCAGCACCTGGCATCCCACCTGGGGATCCTGGAGCAGCGTGCCCCTCAGCAAGAAAGGAAAGTGGAGTCACACCAGGCAGCTCCACAGCAGCCCTCCTCCCTCCCTCTCCCTGCTGGGGAAACTGAGGCCAGAGCAGGAAGCGAGTTAGAGGAGCAGGCGGCCGGGACCCCGGAGGCTCCGCGCCCACCCTGCCGCTCACCGAGGCGCGCACACATGTCGGCCCGCGCGCGGTGGCCGCAGCCGGCGTCAGCGTGGTCCCCGAGGCTGCGGGCCGCTCGGGGGCTCCGCTCGCATCCTCGTCACCCCGGTCCGCGAGCCCTCGGCCCGCCCGGGCGAGCTCAGCGGCCGGCCCGCCCCCTTCCCGGCACCCTCGGCGCCCAGCCCCGGACGCCCGGCGCGCAGCGGCCAGCCCGACCGGCTCTGCAGCCCGCCGCCGGCGGCTGAGTCACAGCCCCGCCCCGCCCCGCCCCGCGCCCCAGCCGCCCCCTGCAGTTTGCCCATCTGATGGGCGGAATCGAGGCTCCGGGCAGATCCGATCTCCTGCCTGGTGAATAAGGTGGGGCTGCAGCTGGCGGACACGTGAGTGGAAAAGTCCTCAGAGTGAAGCCTGGGATGGGAAGGCGGCAGCTATGGATGGCCAGAGAGCACCGCCTGGAGAACTAGGGTCTGTCCTTGACTGCTACGTGACCTCAAGCCAGTGGCCTTCCCTCTCTGGCCTTTCTTTGTTTGCTTTTTTGTTTTTTGAAACAGGGTCTTGCTGTGTAGTTCAGGGTGGCCTGGGATTACAGGTGTGTGCCACCATGCCCGGCCCTTCCCTGGCCCTTCTGTTATTGGCTTGAGAATGTACCTTGGTCTTCTGGCCTTGTTTACCCGGAGCAGAGTACTTTACCTGTCCGTCTCGGGCCAATCTCTATTTCCTTCTTGGAAAATCAGGCTTAATATCTGCCCTTCGAGGTCATGGTGAAGAAAAATGATAAGAAAAATTCCTTACGGACTCCCTAGGATGTCTTCATGGACGAAGTGTAGGTCCAGCAGCAGGATGCACTGCAGGAGCTGAGCTGAGCCCCTTCAGGGTGCCATGATGGACAACACTGCCCTTGGTTCCTCCTCAGCATTCCTAGCAGAGATTCCTCCCTTGGGGTGCAGAGGGCAGCCTTCACCCAAGACCACCCAGCTGTAAGTGGCACAGTAAGCACGAACTTGGACTCTCGGCTGGGTCTCGGTGCCCAAGTGCTTGCTTCAGCATGCCTGTATGGTAGCTTTCTCCCTGGACTCTTTAGTCTTTGGAACCCATTTCTGGGAGGCACAGACCACGTTTACAGACTATCCCTTGTCCCAGGGTCAGTGACCTTGAAGGCAGGGCGGGTCTGCTGTCTCCAGGTTCTCACCTGGGCACACAGGTGAATGTATACCTTTCTGCCCACCTGTGGTGACACCAGCTGTGTGCCTGTGGCATATGTGACTGGAGCAGCGCACAGAGCTTCTGGAGTTTGGAAAAGACCTGCATGCAAACCAGGGAGGCAGAGGAGCCCCCTGGTGTAAGTGACCTCCACAGTCATGCTGGCCAGTCTGGTAGCCCTCAGCAGAGGGCTTCCCTGCCATCTGCGCTCTGGAGAGGACAGTGCGTAGTGGGTGCAGGTTGGGAGACAGACTCTCAGGTGGAAGAAGAAATTCAGGCTGGTGCCTCCCTGCTGCTGCATTAATGCTGATGTCCATGGGGACAGCCACTGAGCAGTACTTTTCCTTACTGTAAATAGTCAGACACCTGTAATTACGGCACAGCAGCTCCATCTCCAGGTCTTTATCATACACAGCCAAGAGTGCAAAGAGGCAGTTTACAGAGGGTTCCCAACAGCACCTGAGGGGTAGCTAAGGTGGTGCAGGCATGCGGGAGGGCAAAGGAAGGATTGCACCCTTTGTTTTATTCATGGCTGTATTGTTTGAGTCATGCAATGAACATTTATTCACATCTTGCTTTTATTAAACAGGAGGAAAGACCCCTCCCCATTGTCTTGCCCCCTGTACCATCAGCTACCTGACAGCACAGCCACCTCCCAGGTGCTGCATGGAGAGCACGTGTGCCACCACCAACTGATAGCTAAGCTCCTGGCCGCGCATGTGTGTGATTTCTCACCAGTCCGTCAGGTATCCTCTTGACTCTGGTCTGAGGCCTTCTGGAATTGGGCTGGTGGCCAGACCTCTTAATGCTTTTGCTTCTAGATGCTGATTCTTTCTGTCTCTGGAACAGCACTGAGAGTTAAAGATAATCACCCTCTATCACAGAGGCCCAGAAAGGGAAAGGAGTTTTCCACAATCACCCAGCATTTATCAGATGTGAAGCTAAGACTTGACCTAGGCCTGTCTGGGGGGCAGTGAGGCAGATTCTGAGTTCTATGCTGAGGTGAGGTAGGAAGAGCCACGACGTGACTCTGGACAGTGCCTGTTCTCTGGGCTTCTGAGGTGGAAGAACGGTCCCAGGTCCCACCTGCTTCTCTCCAGTTCATTCTGTCCTGGCCATCAGCCTGTGATAGCTTGGACCCCGGAATAAAACCCAAGGAAGCAAGAAATTAAAATTTGGGGAGCAAAGGCTTTATTTTAGGCCAGGCCTGGAGTCACAATCTCCAGGAGCCAATTTGGAGACTGCGCACCTTACAGCTAGAAAGGTTGGGTTTTAAAATCAAAAACCACAGGGATGTTGTAATCGCTGACACAGTTAGGTAGCATCTGGGCTTTTCAGAACTTCCTGTAATTGCCTTGAAGTTAAGCATTTCTTAAAGAACAGCACATTTTATTACAGATAGCCGGATGAGGGGTAGGGGAGGGGGTTACAGGAAACTGATACCTAAGGCTTTTACAGCTTTCTCAGGAAATTGAAACTTAACCTAGAAAGATAGGAAGGGAAGGGGATTTACAAGGAGCTGAAACTTAAGTCTTTACTGGAGATGGAATTTTAATCTCTATTGAAACGGCGCATACAGAACAGGAAAGGTGCGCAAGGGTTAAAACTAGGCTATAACAAGCCGACCTGAATTGTTGCTGCTTCTTGTCTTATTGCTACAGCAGATGGCCGAAGTTCATCAGTCCTCAGCATCGTACACCTTGCTCCACCTCTGTGCAACAGCTTGAGGAATTCTTCTAGAAAGAACTCCAGGCCAGAAGTCTAGACCCGTGTCCCCTTCTGTGCACTGTGACATTCTGGCAGCTCCCTGGCATTCTCTAGGCCTCAGTCTCCCTAGCAGATGGAGATTATTGCTTTCCAGGCTTGCTGGCTTTCTGTGGTGTTAATGGTTTGAGAGACATGAAAGTGGTGTTCACACCAGAGAATTACAAGAGTAATTCCCTCCCTCTCTTCCTGGAATGTTTAATGACCAGGTGTGGCCCAGTGTGCATAAGCTGGGGGCTGGGGCTTTCCAGGGCACAGCCCTCCCTACCTCCCCGTGCTCTGCTCAGGCTTCCAGCTCCTGTTTGATGCCTCCCCACTTTAAACAGGCCCCGCATCCTCACTGTAAGGAGAGCACCTCCATGTAATTGTAGCTGTCCCCCACACCAGCTGTCTTCTGTATGTGCACACATGGACCAAAAGCTAAAATGAACTGGCCACGCTTCTCTGAGAGAAGAGCAGAAGGTAAAGGGTATTTTAGCTACTGTAGCTTAAAGCCTTCATTTTAATTTTTTTTAAGCAAGCATGAATTGTTTATATTTACAAGTTTTGGATGACGTTGATAGAGCTATTTGTTGCATTTCATTTTTTATTTGTAAAAACAAACAAACAAAACTCATTGTAGAAAGCTTAGGGGAGAGGCGGGGGATATGGCTCGGTGGCACAGTGCCTGCCTGGCAAGCTCAAGGTCCTGAGTTCAATTCTTGGTACCAACAACAACAACAAAACAAAAATAACAACAAAAAAAGAAAACGGAGAAAAATATAGGAAACATAAAGAAGAATCACCCATAACCCCATGTCTGCTCAAGAAAACCACTACTCGTGTGTGTGCACACGTGCACACATGAGTGTGCAGGTCTCACTTTTTCTTCCGTCTCTGAGACTTCTGGCTCTACTCCGTTGCTGTCACTTCATCATCTTCATGGTCTCTGTCACCTTCCTTTATCATCCAGGGCCTGCATTTTTAATCTTCATTTCTGGCTCCTCCATGTACCCTTCCTGATCTCAGTGGCTTTCCTTGTGGCTCCTGCCACCCTCCTCAGGGCCCTGCCCCGAGACCCCAGAATCCCTACCGGGAGAGGAGCACAGCACAGCACGCACAGCACGCACAGCACAGCACAGCACGCACAGCACGCACAGCACAGCACAGCACGCACAGCACGCACAGCACGCACAGCACAGCACAGCACGCACAGCATAGCACAGCACAGCACAGCACAGCACAGCACAGCACAGCATGCACAGCACGCACAGCACAGCACAGCACAGTGTGGAGGCCCCTCCTGTCTCCTGTTCCCGCTCCCAGCCTCGCCATCGCCGCCATAATCAAGGCTGGTGGGTCGGGTCTCAGGTCGCCTCGTTTGTCCCAGTGCAGTGGCACATGCAGGGGGCCTGGACTTGGGTCAGGATGGCGGCTGCCATGTGGAGAGCTGAGGGGAGGTCTGAGACGTGCTGGAGGGCAGGATAAAATCGGAAAAGCGGCCTCCTCATCCTGCCGCCTGCCCGTCCAGCTCCACTCCAGGGCTCCAAAGCCCCACTCCACCCCTGTACCCCTGGCACGTTTCTCCCTCAGCCCACAACACACCGCGAGGCTCTGGTCTCCTCAACAGCACAACCTTCCCTGACCGCCTGCATTTCTAGCTACTGGTCTTTCATCTCTTTTCCCTTCCAAATTCCCCAAATGAATGTATTTGTTTCACTTTCCCGGCTTGAACTTACACCTCAGTCCACAGCAATGTGACATCACCTTCTGCAGGAGGAGCCCTTGCCCTGCTCATGGAGACTTCTAACTTTGCTGACCTCGGTGGCACTTAGGTCCCTGCCTCGCTGTTACCAGCCACAGCCTTGCACTGCATAGCACGTCTTGGGCTTCTCCACCTCCTGGCTCCCTCTGTGTCAGGTGGGCTTTTTGTTACCAGCTCAGCCTCTGAATATTTGTGTCCTTTCTGCTTCCTTTATGGCAACGCACTCAGACACCCAATTACCTGCCTTCAGTGGGGTGTCCCACATGTACCTCCCTCTCTCTCTCTCTCTCTGTCTTTTTTTTTTTTTTTTCTCTCTGTCTTTTTGAGGCAGAGTCTTGCTATGCAGTTCAAACTGGCCTTGAGCTCCCTTTATAGCCCAGACTGGTCTTGAACTTGCAGTGATTCTCGTGGCTCAGCCTCCCAAGCTGGGATTACAGGCATGTGCTACCACACCCAGCTCCTCTCTCTCTTTTGACACAAAATCAGTCCCCAGGCCCTGTCCATCTATCCGGTAACTATTTCTGTACTGGGGCCTCCTCTCGGTCTCTACTGTCACACTCATGCAGGCATCACAGCTTGGCCTCCAGCTGTTTTCCCGTACTACCTAGTAATTATTCTAAAATATAAACCATATCATGGCGTATCATTCCTCTGCTTAAAGTCAGTAAAAAACATTAAAGAAGACTTAGATAAATGGAGAGACAGCAAGGTTTGTGGAACATGCCTGTAATCTCTGCTAGTCAGGAGGCTGAGGCATGAGGATTGTGAGTTTGAGACTATTCTGGGATACTTAGCAAGACCTTGTCTCAAAAGTAAAACACAAAGGGCTCTGGGTATAGCCTCAGGGCAGAGCAGTGGAGCTCTCAGTTCCCAGCACTGGGAAGAAAAGGAGAGAGAGAGAGAGAGAGAGAGAGAGAGAGAGAGAGAGAGAGAGAGGAAGGAAGGAAGGAAAAAAGGAGAAATTGACAAATTGATTCTAAGATTCACATGGAGCTGAGCATGGTGGTGCACCCAGAAGGATCCCTGTGAGTTCAAGGCCAGCCTGAACTACGTAATGAGACCTTGCCTCAAAAAATTAAAAAACAGATAGATAAACGTACAAATTATTTAATTAAAATTCATGTGTATAAAGTAAAATTCATATGAAAATGCAAAAATTCAGTGTAAATAAAACAATTTTAGGGAAGAACAACATTGAAAGACCAAACTTCCCAATTTCAGTTTATACAAAGTAATTCCTGAGCTGGGCATGGTGACACATTCCTGTGATTCAGCCAGTCTGAGAAGCTAAGGCAGGAGGATTGCCGGTCTGAGTCCAAACTAGACATTTTATCAACTTAGCAAGCATCTGTCTCAATAAATAAGTAAGTAAGTAAAAATAAAAGAGGGCTTTGGATGTAGCTCAGGGCGATGGCCCCGGGCTCAATCCCCAGTGCTATACACTTAAAGTAACCAAGGCAATTTACATAAACATAACATGTAGGTCAATGATAGAATTGGAAGCCTAAAAAGAAAAAAAAAAACAAGAAATAAATGAGGAGGCTGAGTATTAGCTCAGCGGCACAAGCACCTGTCTGGCAAGCACAAGGTCATGAGTTTGATCCCTGGTACCAAAAAAATAAAAAAAGGAAAGAAAATTTAATGTATGCATAGGGCCAATATATTTTCAAAAAAGATATCAATATGATTCAAGACTTTTTTTTTTTGTCTTTTTGAGACAAACTTTTGCTATGCAGTTCAGGTTGGCCTTGGGCTTCCTTTGTAGCCCAGGCTGGTCTCAAACTTGCAACAATCCTCTTGCCTCAGCCTCCCAAGTGCTGGGATTACAGGAGTGTGCCACCATGCCTGGCTCAAGAAAAAATTTTAAAAATGCATCTAGAACAACTGGATATCTACATGTAAAAGGTGTTTATTTCTATATTTATTTTAATTTTTTTTAATAAGGCAGGGTCTTGTTAAATTACCAAATTACCCAAGCTGGGCTTGAATTTGTAATCCTCCTGCCTCAGACTTCTGGGGTTATAGGGATGCACCACTGTGCCGGCTGGTGGACACTTTTAACGCGGATTTTCCTGAGATAGGGCACACTGCCCTGCTTCCTCCTTCACCCCAGTGTATCAAAGTGGTTTCCGTCATCTTCACACTTGCTCTTCTCTCTGCCATCCGCACTTTCTCAGGCTTCTGTGGAGTTTCTACCTGGCACAGGCTAAATCAGAGCTGCCAATGGACCGTCCTGTGATGCTGGAAGTGTTTGTCCTATACAACACTGTCCTGTGTGCAAGTCAGTCACATACCGTTACTGAGCACTTGAGATGTAGTCAGGCTGACTCAGACATGAGTTTCTTTAATTTAATTAATCAAAGTTAAATTTTAAACAGGCACGGGAGGAGAGGGGATGCTATACTGAACAATGAAGGTCAATTAATCCCAATCCACTCTTAAATTCCCATTTTGTATTCTCTAGGGCTCTCTTCTGTAGGTTAAATAATCATGCTCATTTATCTGCTAATTTTCTGCTCCTATTTGTAAGAACTTTGGCTCTGTGAAGTAGAGACCTTAAAAAGCTTGCTTATAGTTTATCACTCAATGCTCAGTGCCTCAAATAATTTTAGGGATTTGGTAGGTGCTTGGGGATTATAATCCATAAATAAAGCTTTTTACCAGCTGTTTCAGTGTGTGAGCTATGAACCTCCCCAGGTCTCCTTTGCAGAGGTCTGTGAAGTCAAAACTTATGCTCTTTTTTCCTCAAAATTATTATTAAGATTTTTTTTTGTCTTTTTCCTTTTTATTGGTACCAAGGATCGAACTCACGACTGCCTGCTTGCAAGGCAGGCACTTATGCCACTGAGCTAAACCCCCAGCCCCCAATATTAAGATCTTATTTTGTCTTTTTAAATTTTTTATATGTCTTTTTGATGGTGTGAAAATGAGGTGGGTATAACTACTGGCTATTTGGATTAAGAGCAAGGCAGCCGGGCAAGGTGGCACATCTCTGAAGTCCCAGGGAGGCTGAGGCAGGAGGATTGCTGTGAGTTCGAGGCCAGTCCAAAAAGTGAGTTCAAGGGGCTAGGGATTTAGCTCAGCAGGCATAAGCACCTGCCTTGCAAGCACGTGGTCCTGAGTTTGATCCCAGTACTGATAAAAGAAAAAAAAAAAAAAAAAACTGAGTTCAAGGCCAGGCTGGACTTCAAGGCAGAACTCTTCCAAAAAATAAATAAATAAAATAAAATAAAATAAAAAGCACTGGCAGTAGTCATTGTTTTTTCCCTGCTATACACGCATAATAAAAGAATTAAAGCGGTTTTATTTATGAATGACTTGTTAAAACACTGTTAAAAAGTATTCAGTGTCCACCCTTAAGTATATCTACTTTCTTCCTTTTTGAGGTGGGGTCTTATTATGTTGGCCGTGTTGTCCTCAAAGTCCTGACTTAAGCAGTCCTCCTGCTCGAGGCTCCCGAGTATTTGCACTGTATCCCCCTCTCTTGTGAGTATTTGGAATAGAAAGAGTCCTGCATATCTAGAGGCCAGAAGAAGGCCCAGGATGCTGTTGGAGTTGTGCACTACACTACCCAATTTTTCATGCAATACTAGTTCTTAATAAAAGAAGGGCGGAAAGTCATTCTATGGTTGTACAAATGTGGATATTTGCAGATACTTTCTCTAAAACAAACAAAGCAAGTCTATAGTCAAGGGTAAAAACTGACAATATTTGATGCATGGAATAAAATTCAAGCTACTGAATGAAAATTAGGAGTTTGGAAAGTTCACATGCACCACAGTGGCTCTACATTCAAAAACTTTTTGATAGGATCAGTGGT